AATAAATAAACTGTTTAACTAGCCTGAATTTAGGAAGCTTACTGTTAACGCTGCCTTGCCCTGCAGCTGTAATGCCATTTTATTAGTGATGGTGACAAAAGTACCATGAAGTTACTAACATTTTATACGTACTAATTTTCGTTCCGCACAGAGCAGTATTGCTCTGCAGTGCTGGACTGGTGTCTCTGTAATCAGGAAATCTCAGCACGTGTTTTTAAGGCAGATTCCCCTGTTCACCTTCCCATGCTTCCCTTACTCACACCCCTCTTAAACATAAGCCAAGGAAACAAATAATATTTCAGACTATGCCCATGCACCATTAAAAATAGGCATGCAGCACTTTCCATGCATAATTCATTCCTCCTGTATTTCCAGTCAAGACGTCTTCACTTTGCAAGTGTAAAGTGACAATTCTTGCAGATTTGGGAAATAATCTTTTACATCTGTTACAAGCTAGCAGACACCATTTGGCAAGTGTTAAAAAATACCATATAGGACCAGGAATACGGCGTTCTGTTTGGTTAGAAGCATTCTTGAACTAAAAGTCTCTGTAGGAAAAAAAAAGATGACTTGAATGTTCTTTCCTTCTAACAGAAATATTCTAATTTTCCAGCCATTTATCTCTCTATTTCCTTTGTGTATTATGTCCTCCTCATTCCTCACTCTTTTCCTTTTCACATGCATCATTTCACTGGATCATCTTGTTTTGCAAATATTGATTTCTTTTTTTTTTTCATTTTTTTCTTTTTAATGCTGACACCTCAGCCATCTTTACTATGCCAGCCTCAGAATAACCTTCAATTCCCTTCCTGCTCAGGCCCCTTGTGCCCTGACTCCCCAGGGCCTCTCCCCGTCCACGTTCACCTCTCTCTGCCTTTCCCCCCAGCCCACTCTTTTCCATCAGCCCAGCTCAGTCTCTACCCCTGCCTTCGTTTCCCACCTACCTGATTTAACTCTCTACTTTTAAGTCTTATTAGTCTTGCCTCAGAAGCGCGAGGAGTAACGCTGTCATAACAAAGAGCAGGAGAGCTTGTAGGCCCACTTTACAACGTGATTTAGCAGGGCGAGGAGCACCTCGCCGCATACTAATGCTGTTTTAATAATGCTGCCCAAACACCCCGGTGACTGTGCTGACAGTCTGCAGGCTCCAAATAAGCCGGCAATGCGATTTGTGTGCACATGAGGAGTTAAGATAACGGGTGAGTGCGCGTTTCAGCCGAGTTTGCCATAAGCAGTAATATCACTGAGACTCAGTCCCTTCCTCTGCGTTCCACTTAGATGTTTTCTCCTAGTAGAATACCATCCTTTGCTCTCTACACTTAATGCACTCCTTTTGCATTCCAGTCCTTCACTTAACGAAATAATACAACCGACGCTATCCATATAGCTAAATAAAGTGATACATATTTAATTAAAATGATGCTGACACGACAGCTAGGTTCACAATCCGCCACTGCTTTTGCACCCGCTTGCAAAGACAGCCAGCCCGTCTAAAACGCTTCGGGGACCCGATCCTGCCGCCTCGCCTGACATCGCGAATCTCCTTGAGCATCTCCAGCGCACCCTCTGAGGCTCACCCCCGAGAAGAGCCCTGCCCTGCGCCGGGACTTGCAAGCGCTGCCTCGGGCAGGGCTGGAGGGTGTCCTCCGGAGCACGCACAGACCCAACTGCTCGAGCGCATTTGACAGGTCCTCGGTGCTGCTGCCCAAGGAAGAATTTGCTTTCACTGGTACTGAACTGGCAAAACGGCTGGCAGAAATACACACACAACCAGACATAACCAAGCGGTTTCTAAGAACTCATATTTAAGGCCTGAAGGGGAGGAAAACAAGCTTCTAAGTTTGTTTCAAGTTTCAGAGGCAAGACCCTAAAATATCAGATTTTTTAAATAATTAGCAAAACAATGGGGAGAAAAAAACACTGCCAGTGTGTCCTTTTTCAGGCAGTATTTGAGCAACTTAAAATGCTAGATGAACCATATTGATTTTTCTATTTGTGGCTTTGATGGGAATTTAATTGAAAAGCTCGGTAACTCGTGTTTTGAAGCTTGTTTGCACAGAGTGTTCCACAGCAAATTTGTGAAAAAAGAAAAAAAAAAAAACCCCAAAGGATTTTTTTCTGGTCGGCCAGAAGAGGCGGTGACAAGAGACCCGCTAGAGATTTTACATTCTCATCTCCTGGAGTTTGAAATCACATGCACTTTATTCATTGCCTATAGACAGACATTGCATTTTGTCAGTACAGCTCATCATGAAAGCTAGGCTGCTGGCAATTAATTTTTCTTCTTTTATTTTCCTCCTTTTTATGTGATTAGAAATGGTCATAAGGATTTCCATCAGAATCATTTCAATAAACCGAAAAAGGAGGTAACACCCTGGCCCTCTCTTTATGGTCTCTTAGCGTAATATGAAACACTTGAAAAAATCCGATAATTCTGAAGTTGTTCTGTGCACACATCTTGGGTTCAAATATCCTTTATTGTTTCTAGATCAAAAAATGCGAAGGAAAAGCCTGAAGAAGCAAGGAGTAAGTGACAGGGTGGAATGGCATGCGAAGACATGGAGGTATCTTTTTAGCAGCTAATAGGTAAGAGTGACACATCCTACAGTTTTCCTCTACTTATTTTTAGGGAAAAATACCTGCAAGAGGCTTAGGTGGTGTCACTATATTAACTTGCCAGTGTGTAAAACGATCCTTTAATTTAGTTGTGGCCCAGAATGTGAGTTTTTTCCCAAACTTTACACAGCAAGGAGCTTGAAACTTTTCCCACTAGCTTCAGCCCTCATCATAGCAAGGCTGATTTTCCCAGAATTAGAGCCCAAGCTCAATTAAGACTCGAGCTAGGGGATAATACATCTGCCTGTTTATTGAGTGGTATTTCCACAGATTTGTGTTTTCTCACCTGGAAGTATTTTCAGTTTAGGATGTGTCCTGGTTTCGGCTGGGATAGGGTTAAATTTCTTGCTAGTGCTGTGTTTTGGATTTAGTATGAGGAGAATGTTGATAACACACGGATGTTTTCAGTTGTTGCTAAGTACCCTCCTAGTCCAAGGACAGCTCCCATGCCTACTGACTGAGCCAGGTACACAAGATGGGCGGCAACATCATCAGGACAGCCAGCCCAGCTGGCCAATGGGGTATTCCATACCATGTGACGTCATGCTCAGTATATGAATGGTAGGCGTGATCCAGGAAGTACCGATCGCTACCTGGTTATCGGTCAGCGCGGGTGGTGAGCAATTGCGTTGTGCATCACTTATTTTGTATATTTTATCATTATCATTATTATTTTCCCTTTTCTGTTTTATTAAACTGTCTTTATCTCAACTCACGAGTTTTTCTCACTCTTACCCTTCCGATTCTCTCCCCATCCCACTGGGGGGGGAGTGAGTGAGCGGCTGCGGGGGATTTGGCTGCCTGCCAGGTTAAACCACGACAGAATGATAGTTGAATATTCACTTTTATCTGCAAAGCCTCAAACAGAACTGCATTTATGCCTTTTTCCTTGCAATACAGCAATAGCAGTCAGCACCAGGAGACTTGATCTTACAGCTTTCCAATGCAAAGGAGAAAAGGGTTGTTTTGTGATAGATCTAAGGAGGATCCTTAACAAAATGAGTATATTCTAATCTGACGGTGACATCCTATTTTCCCAAGTGCTCTCAACTTTCAGGAAAGCTACTGGCTAACTGCTAGACACTCATTACATGGAAATAACATTAATTAAACAGACGAGGTATGTCAGTCAGATGCACCATTTTTCCCTATCTGTGTCACAACTCTAAGCTATGCACAATATAATATTATGTAGCTCACAGCCTAATAGAGTGGCACATGAAAATGTAATTTCATTACAGTACAGTACAATGATACGAGTAAAGTCATCACATGACAAGTTGTCCCAGGATGATAGTATCTGTCCCACATTATATTATTTTGGGAATAATAAACATTATATGTAGGAAAACACTAAGCCAAAATAAGCTTGGTCATCCCACAGAGCATGTGACAGATGGCAATTCTAGCTCTATAATCAAAGCAATAATTAACCTAGTAGTTTAAAAAAAAAAAAATCAAACCACATTTGCAATCCAGTTCTCCACATCAGGGATATGCTGCAATATTCAGCAGTGTTTTCAACTACACTGATCATCTGAATTAAATATGGTTACTGACAGGAAACCTCTGGTGCTGCAGAAGCCACCATGGATCACCAATATCTAGTACTTATTTCAAGTATTGATGTCTTTGGCAAAATAGACCCTGAAAGTGGAAATGAGGATCTGTTCAAAAGATGTAAAACCCCTATTGCATCCACTCACAGACTATTTGGCCAGTTTACTCCATGAATATAGCCCTTTTTATTTTATTCATTCAATATCTGTGAAGAGGCTAATTTCAGTATTTTACCTGTTTGTGATCTGTATTCACTCTAAAAGTCACTGGTGGAAAAAAATTCTAAATCCAATTCACCAATCATTTGTTGGTGAACTGGTTGGCTAATCAGGACATACTGTCACTTCTGTCTGACAACCCAAACACTTGAACTTTAAAATCAGGACTTTCTGTTTAGGTTAGCAAGTTTAATTTGCAAGAATATTTTCACACTCATTTTTATTAACAACTTCTTGTTTATTGCCTAAGTTCATGTATCAGTCACCAAGGACCTAAATGAACTTATGTGCATAAGATCTCTCTCCAAATTTTAGGAGTCTCTCTACCTCATCTTTTATCAGATCCACTTTTATGAACTTAAGTGACAAATGGGAATGGTAAAAATAAAATAAATACATATACTATATATACCTATATATGTATATAGATATATATAAAAATATAAACCAGGGATAGATTCATCAGTCATAATTAGCAAAGAGAAGAAGCCATCTTACATTGTGATTATTGCATAGAAAGAGATGTGTCAAGCTTTCTCTGTTCATGGTCGTCATTAAGACGATGGGAGTTCTGTGGTCAATGTATGAGTTTTGCATGGGTAACTTTAGGTAATGTTGAAGTATTTTATGATGATGTTGACAACCAAGCATTTGCAATTTGACTGGCTGTCAGCATATGATCCCAGGAGACCTAGCTTTCTCCCATCCTCAGAGTACTCTCTGGCCATAGAATTGCTTATTTTCTGTACAACATGTCTTTTCAGTACATCAGGCTTTGCAACTTGTGACATTACACAAACTGCTGTGAATAGTGGGACACACAAAACAGGTGTACCATCGGGTGAGGAAATTGAATACTGATGAACAAAGTAACGGTTCTCCCAATGAATCTATAAATTCATAAAGACAAGGCATGGGATGCAGTATGATGGCTTAATGCAGTCCCAGCTCTTTTAAAATAGGGAATAATCGAGGATAAATTAGGTCATAAAATAGTAACACTTTGCACTGATAGGTCCACAGGTCTGAAAGACCTCCTCCTGTGTTATCATATTCAGCTCACATACATCTTTCCACGAACTTTGCAAGCACTGTTGCATAAATCGTCAGATTTCTTACCCCCTCTATTTTGTTTGGGCAGCTGTTTCTGAACCCAGCTGCTCTAATGATTATAAAAAAATCTAATTTCCAAACCTAAATGTAAAGATGGCCGATTTATACCCACCTGGATTGGTGCTAACATTGTTCTTTACCTTGAACAGCTTTTTCCCCTCTCCCTGATATTTACTCCTTTCTTATTTCAAGAAAAAAAAATTCTTTTTTTGCTCTGTTTGTTTGCTAGATAACAAATCACAGTCTTTTCTCATTTAATACTTCCATATTCCCTGATCATCCTAGTAAGACTTCTCTGCATCTGTCCCGGATGAATGACCAGAGTTGTACATAATATTGCAGAGGGGTCTTGAACTAACGCTTTCCACATTATCATTATAACTGCAATTCCCCAGTTCTACAGAAAATAACTTGGCCAATAGATCCCATATCTAACCCCCTATGCTCCGCTGGTGCCTCACAGTGTCACCCAGAAGCGTCCCCAGGTCCTACCCCTTCTCAGTGCTTGGAGCATCTGAAAATCTCCATCGACCAGAGAAGGTTATGGCACTGGTTTTGATAAATATTTCCATCAATCTTCCCAACAGGCAAAATGACACCCCTCTAAGTGAAGTGCATTACTTAAAACAACTGCGGAGAAGAGTATTCCTTGATTTCACCATGATCAAAGGCAATGGTGTAAGCCCTTCTCATTCACAGAAGTAATTCTCCATGTGGAATGGCTTCATTCATACTGGAAAATAAAGTGTGCTGAATCATTCATTATTCATTATGCGGTCCACAGGCCAGGCGGTGCAGCTGGGCTCACGTCCAAGCAACCAGACTCTCCTACTCCCAACGGTCTGGTCACACTGAAACTGCCTCTTGGGAACTGTCCTTCACCTTGTCACCCTCAGATCTCTCAGGGGCATTGCTTTGGAGACTGTTAGTGAGACAAAGCTAAAACCATGCCAGCAACCACGCTAACAACTGAAGAATGTGCGCAGTCGCAGGGCAGCACTTGGACCCAGGCCATAACCATGTTTACCACACCAGTATCACCGTAGCTTTCACGTGCACCTGTAACAGAGAACAAAAGAGCCAGAGGAGAGAGCCCAAGCAAGTTGTTTAATTGCAGCTCACTCCATGACCCTGTTCTGGACAAACCTGCAGCAGAGGAGTCTCCAAGTAAACTGGAGATTGGATTCAGTTGCCTAAATACAGATACTTTGCTTTGATCTCCAGCTGCTGATCCAGGACTCC